ATCGCAGTGCTCATAGCGAACGCCATATCGCAGCTGTTGCAGCCATCCATATACGACAGCATCATCCAGATCAAGAAGCTGCCGTACCTGCCGGACATACTTACGTCCACAAGTCAGTCCTGGCGGCACGCCCCCTGTTGGTCGCCGGTGTTTTCGGGCCGTTCATTCCTTGGACTGCCGTGTTTGAAATATGAACTGATGTACTGCGTTTCTTATGTGCTTTTTAATACTGGTTTAAGCCCACGAAATACGGTGTTGTGATGCTGCGGCCACGTTAAGCACCTCAAGAACGGAGCTGGAATTAACCCCTGCTGAGCTGTGGCTTGCAGTCGTAAATTTCACTGAGCCATTGGATCCCACGTCACACCACCATTGCGCCTGTCTTCTGGAGCGCCAACAGCCCAGCTGCGGGTGCGAGAAACAGAGCTGTACTCGCGTGCGCGAATAGATCTCCGTTTTCCGGGACTCTGGCAGTTTTTTTCATTTCCTCGGAGCTTCTGGCAAGGTGTTTTAATGCTGTAATATCGAATCATGTGGAATCGCATTCTTCCAAAGCCATGGCAGGTATTCCCGGATGCATGTGATCCAATGTGACGCGAACATTGCATTCGGTCTGATCATCGGTAGACTTAGGTTTAGTTGCATTATTTCACTTTGTTAAAAAGTCACTATCATGATATGGATCGAAAAAATTGCCGACTAAAATGATCGTGCTTAATTAGAGATGAAATGTTATCAGAGAATCTTCCTCAGAAATTGTGACTTGTTGCGAAGAAAAAAGGGAATGTTCTACATTTGAAGATAATGAAGTAAGCATCAGCTATGATGAAATAAGATCACTTGTACTTTCGTAATGCTCCTTAGTGAAAAAGAGTGCTCTAGACGATACATTTTCTCTGTTTAGTAAATATGTTTCTTATTGTGTCATTGTGTGATAACGACGTCTTACCCTGTGCAACATTGATTGAAAGGCAATCGACAGCCGTTATATCTGGAAATCGTACTCCTGAACGCCAGATATGAATGGCCCGACAATCATATTTATTTTAGCCCTGATCGTCGCATGGCTAATAGAATGGCAGGATTTGAATGACGTTACTATGACGTCATGGATATCTGGATGACCTTGAAATAGTCTCCCCGAAATCATATGCGCATCTTCGCGGGCGTATAGCTCAGAAACTAGAGAGGCTTAGGTCATAAAGGCAGGGCTGTGAACTGCACCGAATGATCTTCAAGATGACCATCTCAGTTAAAAACCCCATACAAACGTGGAACACTCCCTTAAACCATCGATTGCTTCAAACAGTGCCCCAGTACGCCGGTGTGCGGTGGTCCTGCAAACTGCGTCGCGCTGGGGCAGCCAGTGGCTCGGTGACCTCCGACCGTCCGGAGCCGGTCGTTCCGGCCGTGTCGTCGCCGCCGTCGGCCCCCGCGGTCGTCGTCGGGCGGTGGCGTCGGGGCGGGGCGACCACTCGTGCGACCAAATTGGAGAAGTAGGTCACGCGATCATTCGCTGAGCAACGGAGCGCCGCGGCGCGCTCCTGAAGAGAAATTGCTCTATTTAAGACGCGCTATGACCGGTGTCATGTAAAATTGAAAACGTGACAAATGAGTGGTTCGGTCCTACGCCCCTTTCGCGACTGATAATTTATTGGCAGTAACGTTGCTCGTGTGAAAGTCGAGTTCTGCTCGTTTTAATTCATGTTTTGGCTAACTGCGCAACCTATGTTCATGGGCTGAATATGGGGCCGGAGCTCTAGTGACGAGGTGCGAATGTTGTATCAATAACGTCACCAAGGGAATATGCTCAGGCTTTGTCTGTAAACCACGTTATATGTCATGGGCATTACTGGCCGATACGCCATGCACTATTCGCTCCGCTTGAAAACACTTATGCACGCATGTTTGGCGCAAAATAGGCTTGAATCAATATACATATTCCGTACGTTTCGAGGGAACTGAGGATGTGTAAGTAATTTTACCCCGCAGGCTGAACCCACATAGAGTTTTACAGCCCTTAGACTTTCCCAAGCAGTTCAAAAACATACAATTTGCAACACTTGGAGCAAGTTTGCTTTATCAAACCACTAACACGGATTAGTATAGGAAACAGCATAAAGATGAGGAGAACTTGCGTCCTAACATATGCAGTCATCACCATCTAAAGATGCCGCCGCGGCGTGATGACCGAAGTTGGTAGCAAGCTTCTGGGCGTGTTTTTCATGCCGCCGTCGTCCTCTGGCTGCAGACGCCTACTCCATCTACGTGGAGGACATCATGGTGCGGGAGGTGCAGTACATCTGGCACGGCATCAGCCACCGACAGCTGCGGCAGGTGCTGCGAGAAAACAAGAAGCTCTCCAGCGTGCCGCTGGTCGACTCTCATGGTGAGTGACATCACGTGGTCATGTGATAGTGCTAGTTAGCATTTTGGGAAACCCCACCACGCAGGTAATTGTTCCTCTGGACCGTATCATACAGTGCACCTCACAGTGACAGTAGTGTTCGGTTTCTCAACCTGTCGCATCTATACCATCTGCGGTCTATGAATTTCCCGCGTTGCGTCATGCTGGCGAGTGCGCGGTTACCATGCAGACATTCTCAGAACCCGAAACGAAATGGGCTGATCGCATTGCCCAGTTGTGTTATGACTGGTAAGGATCACCAACCCAATTTTCAGTGCTGTGTGGCAGTTGTCCAGTTGTACTACATGATCAGGCCTTCCAGGCTTTGTCAGGTCGGCAGCAAGGTGCGGGTAAAAAGAGCGTAAAGTTGGTGCTTCTTGTGCGCAACATCTGACGACTGCGAAATCCGCTGCGGATTCTGCAGCAGTCAACATAGTGTCAACGTGCCTTACGACCGTGGTGCTGAGTCTAGTGTCAGGCTGTACTCCACCCGGCATGCTGTCGGTCGGGACTGTTGTCAGAAGGCACCGGGACTGGTGCCAGATTGGGTCTGGACGGGTTTGGTGTCAGCCAGTGTCAGAACGGGACTAGTGATAGTTGTGCGCTGACGGGCCTGATGCCGGACTGTGTCCGACTGGGACTTGTGACAGTCTGTTGCGGGGGTGCTCAGGATATACACTGAGCGGACGGGGCCCGGCCGGGACCGGTGACTGTGTCTGTGTCGAGCCGACTGTGGTGTCCGGCGGGACCGGTGGCTGTCTGTGTCGAGCGGACTGCGGTGTCCGGCCGGGACCGGTGACTGTGTCTGTGTCGAGCTGACTGTGGTGTCCGGCCGGGAACCGGTGACTGTGTCTGTGTCGAGCCGACTGTGGCGGCCGGCCGGGACCGGTGACTGTGTCTGTGTCGAGCCGACTGTGGTGTCCGGCCGGGACCGGTGACTGTCTGTGTCGAGCCGACTGTGGTGTCCGGCCGGGACCGGTGACTGTCTGTGTCGAGCCGACTGTGGTGTCCGGCGGGACCGGTGACTGTCTGCGTCGAGCCGACTGTGTGCCCGGCGGGGACCGGTGACTGTGTCTGTGTCGAGCCGACTGTGGTGTCCGGCCGGGACCGGTGACTGTGTCTGTGTCGAGCCAGCAGCGGTGTCCGGGTGGCCACCGCCGGCTCGCGTCCCAGTCCGGACGAAGGCAGGTCTTGCCTCGGTACTGCAGTTCACGCCCCCACGCTTTCTACGCTCACACTCCTTTCCTCACTTCAGCCTGTGATACTGTTTCCCCTGAATTGCTGGTCGGGCTAACAGAAGCCCTGTAAGCCAGGCATCCCAGTAACTCATAAGCTGGCATATTTAATCAGCTAGAGCCCAACGGCTTATGTATGTGTGTTGACGCTGCGGTGCTCGTTTGGGCTTCGTGGCATTCAGCTCTGTAACATGCTTCTTTCTGGTAAAGTCACAAAAGACAGCTGCGAGCATGCGGCTAAGTGACTGATTAAAAAGGTTATTGATAAACATGAGTGCTGAGCAAGGACGCAGGAACGGAGGGGGGGGGAGGTCGCCCCCTCTTCCCTGAACTTGAAAGCTGGGGGCGGTACCCTCTCACATCCTGGAGGGCGTGTGAAAGGTCTATTTTGGTTTGATAAGAGTCCTTTTTGAACCGTAAATGAATTATCTAATCCTATAAAAGTATATTCTGAGCTGTCAATGTCTTATTCTGACGTTTTAAGAGGTATCCTCCTGGTGTCCGTCCCGGTGGCTCAGTTGGTTACAGCGCCTGCCGTCCGATCCACCCGCCCGTGGCGGGATGGGTTCGAGTCGCTTTAGGGCGCCCGTTATTTGCCCCTGACAGGTATGGCCTGCGGCCGGTGGCAGCGGTTGCGCTAAAGGTCAGTTGACGTCAAAGGGCGGAACGGACCGTGCCGAGCATTGCGGCACGTTAAGCTTCCGCCACTAAATTCCGCCGTTGCCTGGAATTGCGCGATCGGATGGTGGGGGTCATGGCTCACACAACAAGCACTGCTTACCGTGAGCGCTGATCCCCGAAATCCATCATTCAAAGGGTTCGGATCGGATTCTTTTTTTTAAATCTGACAAAGAGAGGGCGATTCTGAACCTGTAGAGAGCCCATTCTGACTTGTAGAAGGCCCATCATTGTCTGTGGACGGCCCATTCCGACCTGAAGAAGGCCATTCTGATCTGTGGACGGCCAATTGTTGACAGTGGAACAGCCATTCTGTCCCGTGGAAGGCCCATTTGGCTTGAAGAGGACCCATCATGATCTGCAGAAGAACCATGATGACCTGTGGAGGTTTCAGTATTGACAGGCGAGGGCCAACTTTGGCATGTAGAACGCTCAGTCTGGCCTGCAGCCTGGAGAGGGCCCACTCTGATCGATAGGGAAAGGGGTTGTGGCCTGACCAGTAAAGGGCCTATTGTTCACTGTGTAGAGCTCACTTAAGCCTGTAGAGCGCCCATTTTTAACTGTGGAGAGTCCACGCTGGCTTGTAGAGGGCCCATTGCCAACCAACGTGCTCTTATTCTGGACTATACAAGGCCCGTTCCGATCTGCGGACGGCGAATTTTGATCTGTTTAGGCCCCTTTGACCTGTATAGAGCCCATTCAGGCTTATAGGGGCCCACTTTCTAATCTCAGGGGCCCATTTTGACATTTTGGAGTTCTCCACCTCAACTTGAACATAGCTACCACACCCTTTGTGCTGAGTAAGTCTTTGCACATTTTGAATTATGGTTATGGGCGTGGTTACGTGGTTACAGAAAAAGAAAGGCATACCCGGTGTATTGTATGGTTACGTCATTCAGTGGTAATCCGCATAGATTATATAGTTTTTTCGATGATGGATTAAAATATTGCCGGCTTACATGTCCGGGAAGCTTCTGTGGGCATTAGGTAGAACTGATGGATACCACATCTATCAATATTTGCCGACATACGTGTCTATTGACGGGGCAACACGAGAAGAGTAGCTGGAAGACGAGGATCATCGCCGGGCTGCCGCAGAGAAGCTCCGTTATCGCCGTCCTACAGACCTGTTTACCGGAGTTCAGCGGACACGATTCCACCCGAGCCCTTCTCTAATCGCATCCGCTGTTGCCGCGGTGACCGGGCCGCCGATTTGAAACTGGAGTCGAGCCGGGAGTCAATGCGACCCCCGAAGCTGCCGCGCGCTCTGAACCCCGCGGGCGTTTCAGACTCGATGGTGCTGCTGGGTAGCATCAAGCGGAAACACCTGGTGCTGCTCCTGGAGAAGCACCTCGGACGCGACCGACGCATGGAGGTGGTCACGCGATGGCAGCGAGCGGCGCAAAAGTGAGACGGCTACCCGCCTTTGTATGCGATTTATTACGTCACGCTGGCGGGGCAGTGCGTCCCACGCGTTGTGCGCGCTTACCGTGGTATTCCAGGCCTAATGGTGGCAGCCGACGAAGTGTTTAGGAACTGTTTGGCCGTCGCCTTCAGCACATCTTATGAACCTAAAATTGTCATGGGAGATCATCCTGTCAATCTCAGCTGAGTGTCGGTGACCTCGTTTTCCGCTGCAACACACGCCCGTCCAATTGCTGTCCAGCAGCTTCCAAGGGGACGTCAGGGTGTCACCGAGGCGGTGGGTCCATGTGCTCGGCCGTCCCCGGCTGGGCCCCGGTCCAATATGTCGGGTCTGTAGATCTCCCGCGGCGCCGGCGGTGTTAGGAGCCAGCGCGGCCGGCCTCACCCCGGCAGATTCAGGCGCCCGTCCGGCGGCTCGTGCCCACAACTCTGTGCGGCCGACCCTACGATGCGTTCCGCACCGTTTGCCAGCGTCTTGGGAATCCTGCCTTTGGCTTTTCTTTATGATGGGGTCGGGGAGGGACCGGGGGCGGGGGGGGGGGCGTATGCTTTTGAGGTAGATTGCGGTGCCGTATTTATGGCGGCATATAGTATGTTCTGCGGGCGATTTCTGCCGTGAAACTACCGTCTTGTTATTTATTTCTACATCCTGTTCAAAAGAGTGTTTTCAGCCGTAGGGAATAAAATGGTGCTTTAGTGTGATTTAATGGCCGCTCGTATTGTAAAATATTGTACCATTGAGAGCTAAAACTGTTATTTTCTGCATTGCCCAGGTGATTGCGCAGACAATACTAATGCATCGTTTATTACCTCGTTTATTACGATAATGCATTTGCGTACAGTAGAATGCGCGCTTTCAATGTCAAAACGGCCAAATGTGGCCAAAATGCCAACACCACGTCAATGTCAAATGCCGATGTTGAAATCAGTATTCGGCAACGTGTGATCGCAGCTTGAAGACAGACAGCAATGGAAAATAACGGTGTGGTAAATAGCCCGGCAGCAAGGTGTCACATTACGGTCGAGATCGCCGGTCTCTCATCAGGGGGCACCAACCTGCGGAGCACCACCCACGCATCATCACCCCACGAGCACTGCTTCCCATTTCCTGAGCATCGGTCCTCAGCTGCTGAGCGCCACTTGCTAGCCTCTGAACTGCTGCCCTCCCCTGAGCGTCATTCGCCAGGCTCTGTAACGGCTGCCCTGCCCTGATCAGCACTCCCCCTCCCCTGAGCGTCGCCGCCGCTGGGGCTGAGCGTCGTCCGGGCCGGCAGGGTGCGCCTGTCGCGGCCCAACCGCAGCTGGAAGGACCTGGTGGCGCTGGCCACGGCTGAACACCGGGAGGAGCAGCGCCGCCAGCAGGAGGGCGGCGACGCGCCGCCCGACGAGCCCGTGGTGCAGGTGTCCGGCGCGCGCCTGGCCGCCGCCGACGACGAACCGGCTCCGGCTCCGGCTCCGGCTCCGGCCCCGGCCCTGGCCCCGGCCCCGGCCCCGGCCCCGGCCCCGGCCTCGGCCTCGGCCTCGGCTCCGGCCCCGGCCCCAGCCCTGGCCCCAGCGTCGGCTCCGGCTCCGGCGCGGTCCTCCCGGTTCGCCGTGACGCCCGTGAGGCCGACATTGCCGGAGCTGCGTATCACTCCAACAAGCCTCTCCGAGGCCGGCGACGACGAGGAGCAGGTGGGGCGCCACGATGGCTCGTCCGGCGTAGCAGCCGCCTGGAGCGGGTGGCAAGAGAACATAAATTATGTTAAGTGGGGGGGGGGGAGTAGGAGATTGCAGGAATGCATTTCGAATCAATTTGATACCGTGCCGCGTCATTGAGATAATGTTTATTTATCCTAGCTTGGGCTTTTCGCCTATCCGGTTATCGTGGCGCTGTAGGACATCTATTCTTAGCATATCGTCTTCTCTCGTTAGTGGAGAGCATGGATGATGGCCAGAACAGATGAAGATAAAACTGTGGTCGAAGGTCTGGATAGGCTGTTGTAGATTTGGTCGAAATAGACCTCCGTCCAGCACGGTGTCAGTTTTGACATCGCAACTCGCACGCTCCGGAGTGCAGTACACTGGGCCTCAGGCGCCTTAGACATGTCAACGAGGTCCTACCACGCGAATAACCCGGACCACTTACCACGCAACATCGTTACTCTCCACTGGGAACATTTTCGAAGCGTGCGTCCAGACATGGCCGGGGCCTCGCCGTCCAACATGGGCGGGTGTCATGCCTGTTCGTGTCTGCCCGAGGCCGGCGGCCCATCCGCCGTGGCACGTGCTGACCCAGAACGGAGCTCATTTGGTGCTGGCGAGTTCCTTCCGGCCATTCTCGGCCGGCGCCGCGCCGTAACCCGGCCCAGAACGACCCGCTGCAGCGCTCAGAAATAAACATTATCATCCAGCCGGGATGGGCCCGGAAATCGATCAAAATTATATTACACCTTGACTGTGACATCGGGGCGGCGCTGGCGCTCTCGGCGACACTCAGTGTCTGCCGACGGCGGCGCACGGCGGGCGGTTAGTCACAGGGGCGCAGTTCTCCACGGATTGATCGAGATTGGCTGGCGGATTTTGCACCGTCTGCGCCACCTAGCAGGAAAAACATTGGTCGAAGACCTCAGCCCTGTTCTGTAAAAAACTGTAACTAAAAGTCTGTTTGTGCGCGCATGCTCCTCGTGCTCCTCGTGCGCTCCTCGTGCGCTCCTCGTGTTTGCGTTTTTGAAAAATTCGCGAAATGTGTCTTTAGGTGGTAACTTATGCTTTTTATCTGGTGCTCGCTGGCGTAAACCTCATATACTGGCGCCGGTGACCAATAATCTTCAAGCCCTGCCTCAGAACCGCATGTATTACACAGCGCAGCAGCGCATGTCTGCGAAGTAATCGATCGATAACACGTGGTTGAAGTAGGTGGTGAACAACGTGATGCGGGAAACACTCTCATTCCTGTCAAGGGAAATAATGAATGACCTCGGACACGTGAAGCCACGTGACACGCCACGGACGCGTAAAGCCACGTGCCGATGCGCGGCAAAAACACTTCGACTAGCGCGATCGCGGTACCCGAATGCCGTGAGCCAGTGGAGCGGATGGAGCGGCGCAGGGCAGAGAGCCGCCCCCGCGTGCCTGCGCTGGTGTGGTTTCAATCTCCGCATTCCCCAAGAGATAAATAACCGCACACTACAGGCGGTGCTGGGCTGCCACCAATCCACTTCGTCTGGCGAGTGGGTCAGTGACACAGCTCAGTCCGGACGGTCAAAGGTCGCGTGATCGGACGTGGCTCTCATCACGCCCTTTAAGGATGATGGCGGGCGACCTGAGGGCGTCAGGTGGCAGGACGGCCCGTGCTGACAGGTCCCGTACGGACAGGGCCCGTACGGACAGGGCCCGTACGAACAGGACCCGTACGAACAAGGCCCGTACGGACAGGGCCCGTACGAACAGGGCCCGTACCATCAGGGCCCGCGTCCACAGGGCCCGTACCGACAGGGCCCGTACCGACAGGGCCCGTACCGACAGGGTCCGTACCGACAGGGCCTGCGTCGACAGGGCCCCCGTAGCAACAGGGCCCGCATCGACAGGGCTCGTACCGACAGGGCCTGTACGGACACCTCCGCCGGCATGACGCCGCTCCTATCCGGCTGCCTGTTCAGCCCGCTGACGCAGGCACGTTGCGCCATGCGTACCATGCGTACCATCGTGCTGTCCGCGGTTCGCCTGCCGTCGTCTGCGCATGGCTCCGGCCAGAGGCAGAGGAACGTCCCAAAGCGTGGATGGCCTCATCACCTCTCGAATTAATTTTGTTGTTGATGATCACATGTACCGTCATCTGATTATTGCCAAACTTTACGATAAACAGGTGGACTTCGGCCCACCCATCTCTCGTTTGTCCGGTCCCTGTGTTCGTGCCTTTGGTGTCGATGCGCCATCCGTGTTGGGGCGCGGCGCTCCAAGCCGAGCCTTCGCGTTGCCTGACCCTTAACACGTGCCGGAGGAGGCAGTTCCGGCCTCTCGTCAGCCTCCTCGCCCACCTCGTCTGACCCCAGCACCGTGCCGCAGGCGGTGGCCGGCCTCTCGTCAGCCTCCTCGCCCACCTCGTCTGACCCCAGCACTGCGCCGCAGGCGGTGGCCGGCCTCTCGTCGGCCTCCTCGCCCACCTCGCCGCCGGATCGCCGGCCTCTGCGGCCAATCCTGAAGAAGACTGACTCGTTTAGCCTGCGCTCGGCGAAGGCCGGCTCGCACAGCTGGTTCGGGTCGTCCTACGCCACCGTCACTGGCAGCAGCGACACCAGGTGAGGCTCGCCTCCTGGTCTGGAACTGTCCTCCGAACCTACGCGGTCTTGGACCGTCTGGTGGCTTTCACGATCCTTACATAGATCACGTGCGCCGGTAAAATTTACGATTTGCCGTTTTCTAGTAATAACAGAAAATTGTGATTCTGGGATGCGTGTCTATAACCCTAAACAAATCACGAACTCCTTGAAATTGACCTATCTGTGTTTTGCCTCGGCCATGACGTCATGGACTAAACGCCTACTGTTAATAATGCATTACATAGGGCGTTCGGTAGCATCAGGCCCGCGTTGAGGCCAAAACCTGGGATATTGATGACACGATAGGAGTAAAACTTGTGTCATATATGGATATAGATGTCATACTATATCAAAATAACACCCAAACGGTCTTATTAATTGTTTGTAGCTTGTAGCGTAAACACATCAATCAAAAGTAATATCTAGATAAACTCCGACCGGGTGTGGCTAGTTTTTGCTTTAATTTTGCTTTGATTTAAAGTTTCTCTCAATGAACCGGACTGTGCATACGCCTCCAAGCAGTACAAATAGACTGGGCTCAGGCCGTGTCCGTGGGTTTGAGCTGGGACGTGCTGGCGTCTGAGTAGGCCGCGACCAACACTGGCTTGGGCAGCTTCTTGTCTGCCCCAGTCACGTAGCTCGAAGTGTTTTGATGGAGACCAAATGTCAACTTTCAAAGCTGCAGCGAAAATAGATCAAATTTCCTCACACGCGGTTGAGGAGGGGGCGTGGCATGACCCACATGGCCATTCCTAGCTGCGTCCCTGGCTGCCCCCTCCCGTCGTTATGGCGAGACACAGGCTCTCCGACGCCCTCCTGTCCCCCGCTGTGTGCGGTCGCTACACGTCTGTCTGCCCGTCGGTTCCGTCACGCTCCGAGCGCCCACCACGTCCGGCGCCGCTGAAATGATGGAGCGGATCGGTCGGGCCGCAGCCAATACCAACCCTGCCCCCTCCGCCGCCCGCGGCCGGGCGGCGGGCTGCACGTGCCTGTGCTGACCCCCGGCCGGCGGCCTCAGCGGCTCGTGTCGTGTCCGGCAGGCTGAGGGCGACAGCTGAGGACGTGCTGCAGAGGGCGAGGGAGACGCGGGTGGAGGAGGCGGGGCTGGCTGAGATGGACGGCGTGCTGCCGCCGCCGCCGCAGCCGCCGCCACCGCCGGAGAAGCGGGTTACACTGGTGAGTGGCGCCCCGCCGCCGGCTGCTGTCTGCTCGCTGGGCTGGCATCTTTCAGAGTCACATGTGTTAGGACCACAGTCCGGTAATGGCTGCATGAGACCTTTCTGTTAAGCTACCATGTGTGACAGTTTGAATCTAGGCCTGTCAGGAACTTTATGCGCTGCGGGCATTTTTAGTCGCGCATTATTGTCGCCGGCTCAAGCTTATGTCAGTGCATTTCACTTAAAAAAAACAGGCTGATGCGAAACGGTGATGTGGTGTGGTGCAGGTACTACCGCTTCCATCAAGCTTTTATTTTCGCGGTACTCGAGCCTCTGCACTCACAAGTGGCACCACCCTAACACTGCGGTCTGCAAGTTATTCATGGGTCCATTTTTCACCGCCGACTTCAACAGATGTGTCGGGTTTCGAGGACTTAGGAGCGCTGAATGTTGTAGCGCGCGTCATTACTGGCTGGCGAGTTGTGCCACGTGCCAAACTGCCTGGTTGGTGCGGACGGCGCCGGCGCACGCCGACCGCTGCCGGCCGTGGCTGCGCCGCTGTGCTGCTCGGCGCCCGCCGCCCGCTCTGTGACGCATGAGCCGAGCCCGGCCAGCGCCGCCGCCGCCGCCTCCGCCGCCCCCGCCGTCCGGCCCAGGCTGCACGCTGGCTGTGTCCGGCTGGGGAGACCCGGGCCCGTATTCAGGGGCGTCACTGGGACTCACGGAAGGGAACGGTGCAGACAAGCAGCCATCAGGTGACTGGGTTGGTACAAGGTGTTCACACAGGGAATCACGTACCTTTGCCATCAGGAGTGACTCGTGTGACCTTTGATGTTCCAGTCCGTGTGATCTTAAACGTGTTCATGCAGCCTTGCAGTGTCGAACATGTCCGAGTATCCCAATTATCGTGGCTTTGGTGTGATTATTCGCATTGAAGTGGTTGGTTTCGTGGTCCAAATATTGTGTTTCCTTTGCCTTCTGGTCTTGTCTCTTCATGGAATATTCTGGCCCAGTTTTACCTATTGTCCTTTCGACCTGAGCCCAAAACTGTGTGAGCTACTGTGCTGATTTTGTTTTTGTTATTGTGCGTAACATGATGGATACCATGCTGCAGTGCAACACTTTAAGCGCCGGGGAACACATCTCACACGCCAGGCGTAAGATGAAAGCGAGCTGATGCCCAAACGTGTTTTGTTCGCAGCTGGAGAGAGCCATTCGGCTTTTGCGGCGATACGAGGTGCTCTTCCTCATTAGCCCCACATTGCATGTGGCCTGCGTCTTTCCAGCGCTGCGGAATGCCCGAGCTTTTTGCAAGCTGGCGCCAAACAAAAAAATAGAAAAGCCTGCCATCGAAGGAAATATTGTCATATGCGTTCAAGTCTCGCGTACAGAGGAACCCTAACTTCCCTCTGCATTTCGTATTTTTTCCTACCCTGTATTGCAACATAAACTTGATCCACCGAAGTTATGTGTGTGAACTGTGGGAACATATTTAATGCGCCACGAAAGAGATCCGCTGTAGGATGTAGCTTGTGAATGTAATGTTTGTACCGCGTAAAAGGGTATAGCCAACTTGCGTGTGCTTGATCACCGAGATCATCACTCTCTGCTCGTTTTGCTTTGGTGCTCCCGCACGCGAACTGACAGGATTTTGGCAGTCTTTCATTGGTTCTGTCCGTACATGATGCGGCGACGTCACGTAACACGGCGCGTTACGTATTTTTGTTATTCTAAGGTTGAACATGCCTGCCTAGAAGAGAAATACTGACTTACAAACGTCACGAACCCCATTTTCAACTTATATAAGACAATGGTATTAGCTTTATATCTCGGAGAAAACCAGGAGAATAGAGATACATTTGGGTTGATATTTTGGTAACATGCCTTCATCGAGACAATGGCAGAAGTGAATGCAAAATTGCCTGCCGATGATCTTGCTCGATTTTTCAGGTTTTTTTTTTTAAACAGCGAGCCACAGCTTTAATAGGAGACCAACATTCAGCGGATTATACAAGGAGAACTTGCCAGCCATGACTAAGACATAGTGCATATCTAACTAAAAATTATGATAAGCGAAAAATGCGTGTACATTTAAACGAATCCAGGTAAACAGGCATCACACATTACGTTTCACTCACACATGCAAGCGAGTTCAAGGAACAAGCACCACTCATCACACATCAATTATATACCAATGATTTTAATTAAACAGGCATTGCGCATCACGCGTCAGGCATCACTTCTACATGTAAACGATTTTAAGCTGGCACACGTCATAATCAAGGCACATATCACATCATAAGACCAATATCATAATCGACCATGATGGGCCTCATAAGGTTTCATAGGTGAGATTTCGTGGGCTTCATAGGTGAGCTTTCGTCGCCGGATTTTTGTAAGAACGGGTTCACTTATTTTCCCGTCTGGGTGGTCCTTTGCTCTATAGGTGACTTTGAGCTTTAAGAGCGGCATAGGGTGCATAGGGGCGGGTCCAAAGGGTCCAAACGCTCATATGAGCATCTGCTTTGGAAAATCAAACGCATTTTAAACAATCAAAACTGTGCTTACGCATAGCCTGGAAAAACGACAATAAGTCTGTGGTGAAATATTCCGTCTCGGAGCCTAAGTGCCCGGGTGGCAACAGATGTCATTTATGCAGTTCTGGGTTTCAAGGGGTTTGCACGCAAAGAAATGTGATTTACGAAATCAGGTGCAAGCTGTGTGAAAAACATGGTAGGAACATAGTCTATGTTGGGGAGTTCATGCGCCCTATTCGTTTGAGATGTAATGAAAACCTGCGAGCGCTTAAATCAAAACCGGGATTACCCCTTTCGATGACCATTTTTTGGCAAAACCCGCTTGGGCTGAAATCGACGGACGTATGGACTCTATGCCCCTTTTAGAGCTCAAAGTCACCTACAGAGCACGGGATCACCCAGACAGGAAAATAAGTGAACATATTCTTATAAAAAGTCGACGGCCAAGTCTTAACATACCTGGCTCACATGGCCGATTATGCGGACATGATATGTGCGTGTATGTGTGATGTGTGCCAGCTTAAAATCGCTTACACATGTAAGTGATACCTGACGCGGGAAGTGCCATGCCTGCTTAATTGAAATCGTTTGCCTGCATAATTGATTCGCGATGTGTGATGCCTGTTTGCTTCAACTCGCTTGCATGTTTGAATGAAGCGCGAAGCGTGATGCCTTTTTGCTTGAATTCATTTGCATGTACACGTATGTTCGCGCATTCTAATTCTTAGATAGGGACTGCTCGCGGTAATGGCTGGCAATCGCCCTTTGTTTATTTCCCTGAATGTTAGTGTCCTGTAAAGACTGTGGCTCGCTGTTTTAAAAAAATGACTGAAAATCGAGTAGGATCATCGGCAGTCAATTTTGAATTCACTTCTGCTATTGTTTCGATAAAGGCATGTTGCCGAAACATCAAGCCAACTATATTTCCATTCTCCTGGCTTTTCTACGAGGAATAAGGCTAATACTACTGTTTTATATATGTGAATGATTTCCCTCGCTACTGCACCGAACAACTTAACTATTTTCAACTTGCTTATGCGATAACAGTTTATTGAGTATTATGCTAGTGTCAGGTGCACCGGATAGCTAAATATCTACAGGTTTCTGAAACATGAGTCAATATGACACTCAAGGTTAATTGCTGCATATAATGGCATAGTTTCACCCTTGACCTCATTTTGTGAAAAAGCATGGTGCGTTTGAGCTTCTCCATACCGGTATGCAATTGAAGATCACCCTGTTGCCATTCAGGATAAAAATGAATCGATAGGATATCTCCTATATCGGTTGGCAATCGAAATTAAACATTGGCGGGCCACTCACGGCGGTTCGCCGTGAGCCGACCGGCCGGTATCCGGTGACCGCGCGTGATCGGCTCACTGCGTCTGGAACTGAGGTCGTGACCGGCCGGTATCGGGTGACCGGACGTGATCGGCCCACGGCGTCTGGAGTTGCGGTCGTAGCCTTGAGTCCATGCATGTCAGTTTTAAAGCCAGCCATTTCAACGTTTCCGCGGAATTCTAGAACAACATCTGAATGACTAGTGAGTGTTTATCGACCTCACGTACCTGTCGTCCCTCACGAGTCGTGTAGATGGGGTCGTCGCGCGTCCTGAGTCCTCATAGCGCATCGATAACCTTCATATAACGCTGAGATGGCGCTCAGCAGGAGAAAAAAGGAGCACCTGGTATGAATTCGCACTATTTTTGTTGTAATATGGCTTGAAGCCGGAGCAAATTTGCCTTGCATGCTGGCACAGCATGCCTGAAACCGCACACATGGAATTCAATACAGCATGTATCTAATACGACACGGGCTCCGAGTATACCAGGTCGGGCCTAAGACGGGCTCAGTGAGCGTAGAGCCTCATTCCCGGGAGATCGGAACATGAACACCTGCAGTTTTGCTGCTTTCAGCGAGTGCCTCCAGGGAGTACGCAATAAAAAACCGACGAAAATGGTTGAAGAAGAACAGAATACGATTGTTTGTGAGGCTTAGCGGTATGACGGCAAGTGCGGTGCAAACCATTTGCCATAATCACAAACAAAATTGGCTAAGTTTTTAAGTTGTCAAAATTAAACAAAACCCATGCCTAACTGAAGAATTGCCTTGACTTGCAACACAAAGTAACAAGGGGGGGGGGGGGTGCGGAAAATCGTAGGCACTTATCTAAGAAGATCTTCGCTGCAAAGGGTGTAGTAGAAATAATACAAAAATCGCATCCGGCTTGATGGAATAAGCCTTGTCAACTGCCGGTTCAAACGCCGATGCAATCCGTCAACGAGTGAGTATAATGCACTCACAGAATCTATGCACACAAGCTCCAGATCAACGGCAGGATCGAGCTCAGCTGCAGAAGTGCAGGTCTGGACCACAAGATTGTTTTCTCGCCTTTCAAAAGTATCTCTGCATCTGTGGTTCTCCGGGTCAAAATTTTAGGGTGCGGGTCGGAACAATTGCACAGTCATGTATTTGGCTGGAGAAATGACTTGCCTCAAATCGTGGCAGTCGTTATCCAGTGGAAATATCATAAAGCTTTATCGAGAAGCCAGCAAATCAATTACGTAAGCAATCTAGGTAAAGGGATGAGGAAAGACGCTTGCGAGGCCCCAGCATTGTATCGTGTGCATTCAAACAATAATCATGGAAGCCCTCTGCAGCCAAAGCATCTCAACCACGGCGGTCATGACACAGTGTCAAGAGGATTTGGGCTCAACAGAGAATGTACCCCGTGATCTGCTCATGTCAGAAATGAGATCAAGTTATTACGAAAACCGTTCGTGCGAAATGTGTGGTACCGTACGAAAAACGTACGAAAAGCACACGTCCATTCGTATGGTGAGCATTTACTGAGTAGCAGAATAAACTGAATGCAAAATGACAGCAAAATCACTGTGTGTCTAATAAGCATATTGAGGACCAAGATTGATAATCTTTACCGTACTTTCCGCCATGCTTTCCCGCGTTTTTTTAACTTGAAGAGTTTTACCTTCTAGAAACTCGTGCTTTATGCAACACCATTACCCACTAGACGTTTCTTTCAAAACGCCATGGTGCATTGACGCTACTTTGGTATGACATGGCTGCTACTTTATTTTAATCTTGCATCGTTTGACATATGGATATATTGTGACATTTCCCTCACCAATGTTAGCATAACAGACCTCCATCATATTCTCTTTTATATCGATATTGGTTTTGATCACTATTTCGGGCATGGCTTGTTTGGCCAGACTGGTTTTCGACCGTTTATTATGCTGTTAAACCTGCCATATATCATGAAAATATAAATCATCCGGATCCATCGTGAAACTCTGGTATAAAATTGTTGTAAATGATAGGTCGGCACCACGTCATGTTAGCAAACCGATATCAAATCGGATGTAAGCCCCAACCACCGCCGAATTGCTTACTCGATGCTCCGAACGTGTCTTCCAGCCGGTGGAGAGGGTGATCGATATGTCATACGAGGATCAAAAGCTCTGGGAGGAAGAAGAGCTCGACAAAGAAGTTAACTTTGATGACTGCAAAATAGGTACGTTATCGCAAATGCGTGTGTCATTTTTTGTGTTGTACACACATTTGTAAGAGAGGTGATATAACGTCCTCTTTCATACGATGACCGAACTATGGTGTGTGATTGGAAGAAGTTAGAACAAAATACGGCCTCGTTTTAAATGAATACGATATTCTTAACATATCTCGGTTAGGTAAAAAACCTTGTGACCAAACCTATGTGACAAGGCTAAGGATTAAAGACCTTGGAATGTTTCTATAGAATGCTGCATCGTTTTCATCTTGGCATCCGCGTGGTCTCCTAGAAACCACTGTTTTTGACTCATGTCAGTGGCACCAGTGATGCCATTGACCTGCATCACCAATGACACCAGATTTATGCTGGATTTAGCCCCGTACAAACGAAATCGATTGTAATTCAAAGCAATTCGTGAACGAATCATGTTTTGAGTTAACCTTAGTACCCAAACTGATATTCCAACGGCCTGTGCAAAGTGTGCTGTGCTGTGCAAGCAAGTTGGCAACAGTGCCTTTGACAGACTCAAAGGAATTAGCCCCAAACAGCTGATAAGACCGATTTATGGCTTCAGCCGCCACACAAAGCAGTGCTTGTTAAGCGGACCCTGAGCGCACCATCCAAACATGCAATTCCGGATCAACGGCAGGATTTTCCGGCGAAAGCTTGACGTGCCGGCACAGTCCGTCTTGTCCTCTGACGTCACCTGACCTTAAGCGTGACCGCCGGCACCGGCCGCAGGCTATCACAGTCAGGGACAAACGAGCGCTTGGAGCGACTCGAACCCACACCGCCAGTGTTGGGAGTGTCAGATGACGGACACTCTTACTGAATGAGTCGTCGGGACGGACATTCAACGACAAACTTTGATAATGACGCAACGTACTGCACAAAGCGCTGAACCATCCACGTGGTACAGAGCCGCCATGTTAGTACATCCAATACCAAAACATGACCCAAAAACAATAATAAGTTCAGAAACTGAGCATGCCCAAAGACTGAACGATAGCGACTCGATAGCGAGCGACTCGAACTCATACCGCCAGTGTTGGGAGTGTCAGATGACGGGCACTCTTACTGAATGAGTCGTCGGGACGGACATTCAACGACAAACTTTGATAATGACGCAACATACTGCACAAAGCGCTGAACCATCCACGTGGTACAGAGCCGCCATGCTAGTACATTCGATACCAAAACATGACACAAAACTATAATAAGCTCAGAAACTGAGCATGCCCAAAGACTGAACGATAGCGACTCGATAGCGAGCGACTCGAACCCATACCGCCAGTGTTGGGAGTGCCAGATGACGGGCACTCTTACTGAATGAGCCGTCGGGACGGACATTCAACGACAAACTTTGATAATGACGCAACATGCTGCACAAAGCGCTGAATCATCCACGTGGTATCTACATCATGATCAGAGCCGCCATGCTAGTACATCCAGTACCAATACATGACACAAAGCTATAATAATTTCAGAAACTGAGCATGCCCAAAGACTGAACGATACTTTTGACTATTGAGTGTTGTCGCGGTTTAATGCCGAATCAATTATCGCCAATTCCGCTTCAATCAATTTGAAGAAAAACTGCTAATTTAAGGCTGATTATGAACCATGCAGAAAGCTAGACGTTCGAATCAAGCTTTATTCGTGGCAAAGTTGGGTAATTCTCAATGAATCCTCAATCTGAATCGCATCAGGTACAGCTGTGAGTGACGCCCTGTCTGTGCCTGGCCTGGTCACCACTGATGCCCTGCCCGTGTCTGGCCTGGGTCACCACTGACGCCCTGTTTGCGCCTGGCAGACCCGGCGCCGTTTCAGCTGGTGGAGCGCACCTCCCTGCTGAAGGTGCACTCGCTCTTCTCCATGCTGGGGCTGAACCACGCTTACGTGACGGCCATCGGCCGTCTGATCGGCGTTGTGGCCCTCAAGGAGGTCAGTGCGTGACGTCACGCCGGCAGTGTGCGATACGGTACTGGACACGCCGCGACATCTGCACCAGCGATTCCATGTTTCCGTTGCTTCTCTCGGCTTCTGGCGTATGGCTGGCTGGGTCGTCACAGCGATGCACACAACTTAAGCTATATTGCAACTGACAGTCAGTGCTACCTAGGGGGTTGTAAATCGAATCATTTTATGAACACTTGGCGCGTATTTTGTATTCCTCCCCGATCACAACATGGTACGCTTGTTATGTCGACCAGTCTCCATCTCCTTAATTTGGGACGATGCAATTTTCAGACAAAGAAAGTTGGCACGCGTAATCGTTTGTTTACCGGTTTTCTACACGTCGATGGGAGCGAGGTCATTGTTTATCCCGCTGAGATTCGCGCAAACATTACACAGTTGTTATGACACAATAAAGGTAACGACACCGATTTGGAACTACGCCCGGTCTCTGCATATCTGTCGTCATTCGCCATGAGTGTGTGGCGCTTTTGCCCGTTGTGTGTGTACTTCTTCCAGGTTCTTGCCACTGTCGCCTGCTTCATTCTGCTGCCATCACTTCGGCTTGGCTCCCCCGTTGTGTAGTTTTGTCGCCTACTGGTTGCCTTCCGAACCGGAGTTTTGACCCGCTGTGGCCTTCCCCCACGCAGCTGAGGCAGGCTTTAGAAAGTACTACTAAAGATAGGGACCATGACCAGGAGAGTCCCGTGTTCTTTATGTAAAGCAGTGAGCAAATCGCACGTAAGTCCATGTATTATGCAACTCATTCATATTTGAATGCGCCCAGTCATGTTTCGTCCAACTATCTTTTTAAGCGCACATGTTCCGATTGGTTTACATCGGTTTTCGATTGCGGCGGCTGTGAAAAGCCTGGCTTTGATGCACGGTCTTCGCCATATTTATTGACCTGCTCGGCATACACCGGAACTACCCTTCAGCCCTTTGTTTTGCCGTAGAAGGTACCAAGGTCGAGGGGGGGGAGCGAAAGGTGTGCTTGGCTAAGCGTGAAGTTGCAGCGAATGTACCGCACAACAGACTTTGCCTATACTTTGCCGTCAAAAGGCAACTGGAAATTGTCGATATCATGTAAGCTGTTAACTATTTGGATTTGGTGACTTTGCGCACAGTCAAACGCAGCCTTTCGCCGGTCATGGCATGCTTCAAGCATGCGCGAATCTAAGGCATCAGTTGATTTGAGGCGGGCGTCCAGTTGTGGGCGTTGAGAGGGTCGCCTGGACGGGGCTGTCGAGGATGTGGCATTGCAACATCGCTGGGGTGTGTGGCCCAGTTACGGATACCGGCCCGGGGTCATCGCGAACCGCATCCACGATACTTTGCCAAGCTCTGTATGAGTGGGAAAGGACACCAGACATTTATTTTACTTAATCCCGCTTCGATCAAAATTCCAGATGGTGTGGCGTCTAGCGTGATGGGTTTGTACAATCTTACATTAATGCTTCAAGGACTTCAGAATTGAACAAGGCCGTCGCTCGGCGCAGAGCAGTGTCCTTTCAAACTAGCGCTGGAGATGGATACAGAAATATCGTTGCTTACCGTTATTGATGTCCTTGTGCTCAGCGGATGCCGGGTTCCGCCAGCTGACATGTAATGGTTGCTGTATGATCACGCTTGAGATCTGTCGTTCGTTGTCAGCGGGTCCTTGAACATTACTCGTTAGTCGGCCATCCGCACATGTAGTCCAAACGTGCTACACTTCCCCGAGACACCGCAGGATCTAGGTCCCAGTTGCTATGAGCTGTGGTGTTGGAGGAAGAAGAAGAGGAAGACACAGCTGATCTTTCGACTTCGTTGGCATTTCGACAAGCGTGGCGCGAGACCGTTGCCTAGCTAGGGAAGTGGTGAATTTAAAATGAGTGCCGTCATGCTGCCACGCAATCATAGCACCGGTTTGGAGGTTAATGTTGACATCAGTATGACGACATTGGTAATGTTATCGAGACGGCGACTCATTTCTTTTGTATGATTTGATGCATGGGTACCACAATCATCGTCCCACGAGTACAAGATGTGTTTGACGGCCGGCGCAATGGGCATTGCGAGGTAGTATCTCAATGATTTTGCTAGATCTAACTGCGTTTAAGACGCATAGGGCATGGTATCTCCCACGGCTAGAATGCAGAAGGGGAGCTTAGTGAAACTAATGCACATTGTTTGCACAATTATGCATTGTTTATCTTGCATTCCCGTCCCGGTAACAATTTTATGCCGCATTTGATTACAGCTTGCATGCTTTGCTAGTGTCGTTTCGGTACTGTCTTGCGAAAATATTGACTTTTTTAGTGGAATGCCATAGAGTCCCGGCAATGACAAACGTCTGCATTTCGGACACGCATTTGCCTCCGACTGTTCCACTTCAGTTACAGGTTTTTGTCATTGTCATGACACACCAGTGTCACCCTGCCAAGTTGTCGTGCTGTGGTAGATAATGCACACTCGGGCAGCCCCTATGCGGTAGATCGTACGTTAGAATCCAGCTAACTGCGCCACCTTATTTGTTAATAGTATTATGTAATTGTCTCCCGAAGGTCTGAATGGCACTTTTGGTTAGGAAACCTCACAGATTATTAAGCTTTGTAAATATGATCAAATGGCCAAGATTTTAGCCTAACGTGGCATTCATGGTCATGCGGCTTCTTTGGTTGAGCGTGACCGAAGATCATGTTGTAACCGAAAATCATGTCCAGTCTGGTGCCTTATCCAGAGTACATGGCCATGATGTCGTATATTTATTTTTTCTCATCAGTGCTGCTTGCTGTCTTAACTCTCGCACTGACCATATTCCATGCCAACTTAGAGCTAACATAAGTACTACTTGTACCGTTACCACCTCTGCACTCAATATGGATAGGGAGAAAGTTAAATGCTGGTAAGTGGGCAAATTATTTTAAAGGATGTTTTCCATTTTTCCGACATTTCTACATTTTAGGTCAAGGCGAAGGCCATGCTACGGCACACATCGTTTTTCAACTGTTGTCGTTAACATGTCACTTCCGGGTGATTGAGTGACACTGATAGTTCTTAAATTTCTCATTCACAAATTCAGTTGCAATAGCGTGCATTCCCCGCGTTACAGAACACATCAAATCGCTGCGAAATCCTGAATGCATAGCTCTTTTTAAATGCAGTCATGACAATGATTACCTGTTGCGTCGATCATGGCTAAACACATCTGAATTATTTTCGAACAGCTTGCACATTTGTGAGTATGAAGGACATGGCCGCTTGGTAATGACATATGTCAGGGTACCACATTCCATTTGGTGACGTCGTGACCTTCGGGAGGGTCTCGCTGCTGCCATGTTGAACACTCTTCCACAATCCTTTTTTCTCGACGCGGGCTGGTCGGCTTGTTTTGAGTCACTGATATTTGAGCTTTAAAAATTGCATAATGAAGATAACTGTGACGTTTTAAGTCGCTGAGCGTCAAAATTAAGTGCAACGCTTAATTGTTTACCTCGGCCGCGGACTGGGGAGTGGACGCCAACACACATCTTCCAACTTTGCGCTTCGTCAGTTTAAATATTTTGTCCTGCAGAAATCGTGCTGTGCGAGCAAGCACATGCATGATGGCGGCACGTTGGACTGCTAGACGTGTTAGTTGTATGTTGAGGAGCGCCTAACAGGGTAGATGTGCCAAACCTTTTTGTGGACGCGATTCTGTTCGTAAGTTGCCAGGTGGTTCAGCAATCTCGGAAAGTGAGGGTGCCATGACAACCATGCACGCCTGCAGCTGTGGCCGGCGGTCCTACGTTTGTGGTGGCAGAAGTGCGTTTAAATGTTGTTAGGAGTGTTTTTCTCATTAAATGCGTTTGTACGTAGAATGGGCAAGTTAAAAACTATTCGTTATATGAACTATCATTCCATACAATATACGCTAACGCGGGATAGCGCGTGTGCTCTATTTGCCTGATAGTTGTGACAGTCCGGCAGCGGTTCTAACATGCTGTGTAGACGTGGCTAAGGCAGCTTATAGGCAGCATTGCAATGCTGTCTGAGCAGCGAATGATAGGGATAACTGATACAACTAGCACCCGTGAGAGGAGCATCAAAAATGCAAGGAAAAGTATCACGGTGGCCCATCATGACCCTGTTTGGTGCGGCTTGTTTCTCCCTCGCATGACCCAAGCGAGGGAGATGCTGCTAGGGCCAAGAACGAATCGAACTGACCGATTCAAATTTTTAGGTCGCCTTTACCAGCAGTCAGAAAGAAAAGCCGAGCTAGGTCGCCGGCAGAGCATGATCTTAAAGCGTGCCGGCAAGCCAGATAACGATGCCACTCAGAGGGACAGTCAACAAGGACGAGGAAGGTTCATATTAGGATGAATCACCAGAAAATGCTGCGTGGAACCTAGATTGATTCGAAATTATCTATCTAAATGTCGTCGGTCGTTTGCTATGATATGAGCGGCATACAGAAATGTAATGATATACTGAAAGCTTATGCGGTTTAGACTGCTGAGGATGTTATGAGGCTCAAGTGGTTCTGCAGCTTTGCTCAACATGATGGCGCTGAGTGAGTGTCCACCAAAGCTTGGCATTCGGTACAGTTTGTTATTCGAATGTATGGACAGGCGCATTCGAACGTGTGTTATGTTGTACACGATTTGCCCAGTTCTCATGCAGACCAAGTCCTGGCAGCCATAACACATTCATGCGCAGTAACTTACATTGGGGAATGGCAACACGCAAGAGAGCAAAAAGGATTAACAAACATACATGTCGGCAAGGAGAGCTATCGTTGGACGGCAGGGCGGAAAGCAGGCTGTAAGCGCACGCCACATGTGCAGATTACACAGCTAAAAGCTATCGAGATCAAACGAAAGCTACGTTCTAAGTGAACATATAAAACTTAATGCTTTTCTATCGATTCGTGCGGAGCCTTGTCCCAGCCGTCGATCATTACGCGACGGTTCTGCAAACGTATGCCGTTGGCGCGGACCACTAAGTCCCGAGCGGGCTTCAATGCTGCGCCGCAGCGCAAGCTTTGCGGTGCAGTATCGTGTTCACGTCGCTGCGTTACGTCGCATTGAGTTGCTGCTCGCGTCGCACACTCATCATTCTAGTATTGCCCTACATTAGCAAGCGACCTAAATGGCCTCGTAAAATGCACGCACTAGAGGAGGGGAATCTGCTCTCATGGTATCTTTGTCTTAACAATGCTGTAGGCACAGCACTTTCAGGGAATCAATTCTGAGTGGTGACGCCTTGAAGGCTGGGAAGCCATACCCACAGACTAGGCAGTTTACAGTCAAAGGACGTTAAAGGCCCAATATGCATGTCGGCCATCAATGGCGACCAACCATGTACAGTTTCAGAGACCAGCATGGCTACTCCGGCAATCGTTCAACGGTTTGTACGCAGAGGGTGCAGTTTCCCATTCCGTTGAGGGGCTTCAGCTCCCCCGCTAACTTTTACCAGAACTTGGGCCGAAACCGGTTTTTGGTGCATTTAGGAGGCGGTTTTAGCCTTTTTAATGCTCCCCACAATTTAGTTCGCAAAACTACCTGCTGAGTCTTGCAACCTATGTGGAATGAGCAATAACAGATATGCATGATGCAGTTGTTGAGATTTGCGCTTAAACGGGATCAAATTGGTCAATGAAATTTGAAATGTAAGGCGAGTTGGGCAAGCGTTTTACGCCGATTTTTCGATGAAGCTCATTCCGACCACAAGTGAAATTTTTTAGGTGCGAACGCACATGTTTGAGGTCACGGAAGAACGGAATGTTCCCGCCGCTGTCCTTGTTCCCAACCCTCCTGTCCTTCCGCGGGCGGCGACGCCAGCTTCTGTTGAGCGGGTAGTTACGAAGTGTGGTGAAATTCAAATCGAGCTGTGTGGTGTGGACCTTCAACGGCGAATCCCTGTCTGCGAAATTAGGCCGGGAGATACATATTGTTCAGCTAACACCTGTATCTGTTCTGCGGTAACCCTGTCACGCCCCCGGCGTTCGTTCGCTGCTGTGGCCAAGGCAGCCTTGGTCAGTGGCTTGTATTGACCTCTCATGACAAACTGCCAAGTGCAGATGAGGACGCAACACTGAAGCCCGAAGACGGAGGGAAACGGACGAGCTATGCCATTGGGCTGCATGTTACGCAACAAGATGAAATTGACACTCTACACACTAAGAAAACATATTATTCCCCGAAATGAGTAAAGGTCAGCTTGCGTCGCCAAAGCGCGACGACATGCTATTATGTGGAGGTCGACTTGTCACAGCGTTGTGTATATCAGCCAGAAAAAACCTGATCGCATTGTATGGCCTTACTTTCGAACGCCATTTCCCACCACGTTTGCTCCAATATGGCCTAATATATATATATATATATATATATATATATATATATATATATATCTATCTATATCTATATCTATATCTATATCTATATCTATATCTATCTATATCTATATCTATATCTATATCTATATCTATATCTATATCTATATCTATATCTGTATCTATATCTATATATATCTATATATATATATATATATATATATATATATATATATATAGATATAATATATGTCAGCCACTAACTTGACATGACGTGAACTGCAAAATTTTCAAAACTGTAAATAGCATTGATAGCTGGGATGATGGAAGCATCAGGAGAACAACTACAACCATTCTGCACGTATTCTAAAAAAAATGTCAGGCAAGAGGCTTGCTGTTCCCTGTCAGTGCGAGAGTTAATAAGTTATAGGAATACGGAGATGACTTTGTTGGCGTGTAATTCATTTGAGTTTGCATGGATTTTTCTTCAAACTGATTGCTACCCGCGCGGTTGCAGGCGTTTCATATTTTACAACACGCTTGAAGGGAGTGTTCCACATTTGCATCGGGTTCTAAACTGAAATAGCCATCCTGGAGAACTTTTGGTGCAGCTCACAGTCCTGCCCTTCTCAAGACCGAAACCTGTCTAGTTTCGGAGCTACACGCCCGCGGAGATGGGGAGAGTATTTCGGGGAGAGTGTTTTATGACCCCCTTGGCATTAATGACGTCATAATAACGCCATACAAATTATGTCATTCCATAAGCTATGCGGCGATCAAGACCAATACAGACATAATGGTTGATTCGTTCATATGTGTCGTTCGCGAGCACGATTGTCAGATATAACGGTCGTCAATTGTCATGCAATTATTGTTATGCAAGGTGCGATGACGTACCCAAACAATGACGCTTCGATGAGCATATTTTCTAAACAGAGAAATTGCTTAATCAACCTAGCATCTCCCTGGTGTGAACAGTTCCTGCAATTCTCGACCGTCCGTTTGGAATACACCGGGCATCATAATCTTTCTTGGTCTTTGTATAAGAAAGACACGTCCTGATTTTTTTTCGGCATCATGTGGCTGGCAGTTTTCGGCTTTCAGTATACGACGAAATACTAGTTCACCAACGTAAGCAGGCAAACATGGGCTATATCGTCAGTACTCGATGTTTCAGGCCTTGCTTATGATCACGATTGTCTCATCACTCGTGATCATAAGCTCAACTTGAAACGCTAATTGTTGGCAATATCACCAAAGTTTGCTTGGTGCAGTGCTTCCTGGTTTAATGAAGGTCGATAGCTGTCAGCATAAGAGTTCCGAACTCGTGACTTTCACGGCATTGGACCGGAACAGTTTCACTGTGCCGTCTACCGTGAGATATGTTGTTTCGGTACGCCACCTAAGCTGATAGTGTTACATTAATGCCCAAAGTGGGCTAGTATTAGGCATGTGCTTACATGCATATCCCACGTAGGGATCCTCGTATTGGGAGGAAATTGTTATGTTGTGGTTTTCAGAGTCCGTTGCCGTGGTCTCATTTTACTCCTGCGCTGCTTTAATTTGAAAATAAAGTTTATCTAACACAAGAAGGCACGCTTGCTACGTTTCCCATTTAAAAACGCCGTTGTCAGAACTGGTCTTCTCCGCATATTCCAGATTTAACCACTCATACTGTGTTTCTTCAACAAATCTCAGAGGTTGGGGAACAAAGGAAATTCACAACTATGATGACGATAAATTTATATTCAAACGAACCACCCTCGAAAATGATTTAACGAACCACCCTCGATTCGCACCATGCTTCGGTTTGCGTATACTTGTTCTGTTTGAATCGGGTCTATTCAGGCGGATTTGGGCCAAGCGGTGCCCTTCCGTGCGTGGTCCGACACCGTGTGACACGTGGTGCCCACGACGTTTCAGCTGCGCCATGCGATCCAGCGTGCCAACCACTTCTTGCCGGAGGTGGAGGCCGAGTCGGAAGACCTGCCGTCCTCGGCGACCAGCAGCGTGGCGATGGAGCGCGGGTCTCCGCGACTGACTCGCCGCCGGCCGAGCCACAGGGGCGACGGGCTCGTGTGACGCCGCCGGAGGCCGCTCACCTGACCCGGCTGGCTCACCTCACCTGGGCAGCTCACGTCGTCGGGATCTGTCCTCATCTGCAGACCTCACCTCTCTTTGGGGGTCTGCCGTAACCTGGAGGGCCCACCTCATCTGGGGAGCTCGCCGCTCTCTCCGGGAGTTGCCTCATCTGAGGAGCTCACTGCTCACCTGAGAGCTCACTGCTCACCTGAGGACCTCACTGCTCACCCGGTGAGCACGGCGTGCCCGGCCCTGCGGGGGTCCGGCAGTGCGGCACGTCTCGCTGTTTCAGCGCTCCAGCGCCACATTCATCGGGTCGTCAGACTGCCACAAACGGAGCCAGCCGGCTGTGGGCTGGGGGCCGACCGGCCGCCGCCGCCATGCCGGCTCCAATGTTCACCTCAGAGACACGTGCCGCTGCCGCTAGAGGGGGCGAGCCCGGGTGCCGTGCTCCCCCGTCTGCCCTGTGCGGCTCACTGCTGGTCCCATCGGTGGACCGAGGGACCGCTCGGTGAGGCGTCAGTGGTGTCAGAGGAGGTCACTGGTCCGCACCGCCGCGCCGGCCTACCCGCCACGGCCGCAGCAGCAGTGCTGGAGCCGTGCCTCGTCGTTCGCGAAACGGAAGGTGGAGAGGGCGCTCCGTGCGGTCGCCGTGCTCGCGAGAGAGGTGCGTTCGCTGCTTTGCAGGGATGCGTGTAATGCGGCGGTGTTATCTGAATACGTTATACGCCCGTACATTTCCTAGGTACAGAGTTTCTGATTGCATGAGCTTCATTGTAACATACGATGTGAACTAGCATGTAGAATTAAATATCAAATATATTTGATCACACTATAGTCACAAGCTGACCTTCATTGTTAATGCGACATTAAAAGTAGAGTGTCTGCGATCATTTCCGTTCATTATTTAAGCGTGACCGATTGCCAGGCTATACTGTACATTAAATATGAGGGTGGCGTTGCCTGCACACCGCGCCCATACAGAGTGGTTGTATCCGCGCAGGAGCGAGGCGTGTCAGTGCCTTTTGTTATCGAAACTGATCGGATATATTGCTGTTCCCTCTGGCTATGTGCTCTGCTCGATTTTACTCGTTACAATGCGTAGGCGTCGTCTTGGCGTAACGACTCGCTTGAGCTTAATGGAGGTGAGCCCATCAAAAGGCGGTTGTTAGTTTAAATGCATAACAAGGTGCAGCATACTCGCCTGATTCATTGAGTGCGTTTTTGCTTGAGTTCTTGCTTCTTGTCACGATAATTCCCCAATTTTGGGTCTTAGCTTGTACTTTTGGAGGTGAGCATGAAGAAGTGGTACTTCAATATGACAATGTTTTGGTCCACGGCTGCGTGGCCAAAGATAGAGCGAGAAAGTGGCCTGGCAAAATCTAAGTTGCTCAGGATTTGCTAGAGTTGAAAAGTTGCGGTTGTGGGTAAGAATGTTCTGCTCGTTCTGAGAAAAATATAATTGGAAAGCGTGTTTTTTGTTGCGGGGGGGGGCTCATCCTCTTTTCATGATCCGGTGTTGGGAAATATGCCGATAATTTGAACTGATTTGGAATGTGGGGTGGATTCAGCCAGACTGAAATCACAAAATATTTCAAGCCTTCTTATTGTATGAGGGGTGCTCACACCTGGCTACCGTTGCAGGGCTGTTAACTGGGCTTTATCATTTTGATTAATTCAGTATTACTAGTCGCTGGAAGGAATTAAACAAATTTGGCTGCGATTCGGCGATTTAGCTGCGATTTAAGCAAGATAATTTATTTTTATTTTCACGATAAATAGGTTTCCGCCACTCAAAGTTTGATACTTGACAAATGAGAAAAATGGCATAGCTAATGATCGAGAGATACATCTTCGCAACGTTCTTGACAGTGTCCGCAGTCATTGCGTGCCGAGAACAAATAAATGCACTGAGACCGAAGCGCACCCAAAACACGTCGATTTTTAGTGAAAGGTAGCACAAATGTCTTGGGGCAAGAGCCCAGCTGTATTTTCGTGGCATGGCGTCAAATCGTAATAGCTATGCCAGTGGTCATTTCCTCGGCATTTTTGCAATAATCGAGTTATTTTGGCTGATCACAGGCTATAGCATTAAAAACCATGATCTGATGGACGCGCCAGCATCCCACTTGATCAAGAAGCGTTACCATGCCATATGTTGATGTGTATAGAAGCAAATGTATTTGCATCGACTGCATCTGTCTAGAATTGGGGTGATACGGATGCATACCGTGAGGTGCAATAGCCCGTATGATCATTCGGGTCTCAACAAAACACTGTTCGATGATCTCGCAAAGCCAGCACCACTGCCCCAGCTGCGGTGGCTGGACCGTTGGCGGTCGTTTGGTGGCAGCCGCTCCGTCGGGGAGCGTGCCGTGTCGTTTCGACAGCGGCCGGCGCCGGTGGGGACGCGGCGCAAGCGGCGCGCTGGCGATACGGCCGACCCATTTCCTCGGCGGTCCCAAATGACGCACCGTTTCCTGCCCGCGGTCTGAGCCCGTCCGGCAAAAACATCAGCCCGCCGGCTTACTGCGGACGCGCCGTCGAGCTCGCTGGGGCTTGTCACTGCTCGGCTTACTTCAAAGGGTCACTACCGGGCTTGCAGCGTGTGTTGGTGCCGGGTCCACTCCGTCCTGGGCCGGACTAATGAGCTCTCCATCTCTGTATGTGCAACGTTGCTGAGTTTGTTTTGTTTTGCTGCCGCTGAGCATTTCTGTCATGTTACTGCTGAACTGGCTCCATGCTACCGCCCCTGAGCTGGATCCAGATGAGATTTCTCCATGCTTGGAGTAGCGCTCTCGAGCCAGCTTCATGTTATGGCTGCTGAAAGTTTTCCATAAACTGTCGCTCCTGAGCTTTCTCCGTACAATGTTCGTGTTGATATTTGCCGATCTTTTGTCACTGCTGAGTTTTCTCAAGTGGTGTTTCCGCTGAGCTTTCCCCACAGACTGCTCGATAGCAACCGTTATGTTGTTTATCTTTCCGCTTACGCTGCTGCTCACGTTGTCGCTGACCAGCTCCCTCCAGCCTGTCACTGCCGAGCTCCCTGCATTCTGCCGCCGCTGTTCTCGCTTCGTTCTGACCTCCGCCGCTGTTCTCGCTCCGTTCTGACATCTGCCGCTGTTCTCGCCCCGTTCTGACGTCCGTCGCTGTTCTCGCTCCGTTCTGACGTCCGCTGCTGTTCTCGCTCCGTTCTGACGCCTGCCACTGTTTCCGCCCTGTCCTGACGTCCGCCGCTGTTCTCGCTCTCGTTCTGACGTCTGCCGCTGTTCTCGCTCCGTTTTGACGTCCGCCGCTGTTCTCGCTCCGTTCTGACTTCCACCGCGCTCTCGTTCCGCTCTGACGTCTCTGAGTGTCTGAGCGCCGGCACAGCTCGTCAGTCGCGGCCTCCTGTCCCCTCGGCTGCCGACGCCAGTGAGCATCGAGTCAGACGTGTGACGAGCCGCGGCCGCGCCGCTCACCTGGCGGCGGGGTTGGCAGGCGTGTGCTAGGTGAGGTGGCACCCCAGCGCTCGGTCGGCCGGCGCTGAGGCGCGACACGCCTGACAGGCTGCAGTGCGGTCCGGGGGCCACACCAGCTCGATAGCGGCGCGGCGAGGACGACTGCGGCGCGCCACTGGCGATTGAGGCGCGGTGTGAGTTGGCTGAGGCGCGGTCGACCACTGCCATGTTTTTACGCCGGGCCGCCGAAGTTTGCGTTGCCCGGTCTTGCCCGCCCCACAGCCAATCGATGGCGAGGCACTGCCGTGTTGGCCATTTGTCAGGCAGTTCTCGGCTGTCAGCCTCTCTGCTTGGGGTAACGCCATCTCGGCGGGGAGCAGGAATGCCAAGCGCTGGAAACGCCACGCTTTACTGGCTTGGTACCGGAATGGTTTCAGAGCATAACAAGAAAATGAAAGACGTTGTCAGTGTTGGCGGGAATCATATTTTACCCAGGTATCTAAACACAGCGAGAGTGGAAAGAGCGACGTGCATACCAAAAACTCTGCCACGATACCACGGACTGCCGACGGTGCAGTGGCTGAAATTGTGGCGGAAGAAAATACTTGACTTGGACGCAACGCCTAGCGATTTTTGGTGTTGACACGGCCGCAACGCGCAGATATTGGACATTTGCGAAATGGCTGGATCGGGCAGTCATCTAACGGTTGATTCGGCCCGGTTGATCGAGGGGAGTGGAGATAGACTGCTTTTATGTGTAATCATTTCTTGGCTTGCTGATCCCTGCTTTGTGAGACAGGAAGCCGTCGCGAAATGCTAGAATGTTCCTAGCAGGTAGTTACTTAGTGAAACGTAAGATCCGGAAAAAATCACGATTTAATTGTGGACCACAGCAGGAACAAAATATAGCAATGCAATGAATGCTTTCCCTTGAATACCCCATAACTTTCTGGACGTGGTTGCTTTTAAGAGATGGCCCACAGCCGCACAGATCTTCAAATATCTTGCAGATGGATAACACATTTTCTGAAGAGCAAATGGTTTATCGAGGATATGATTGGCAGATATCATGCATTTTGCTGTCATAACGCCAGCTACGGCTGTTTTATAGTCTCAAGATTGCTGAAAGTCGATCAAACGCAGCGGATATATTGTATCGTAGGCTTGCGAGGTCTCCAAGTCACATGGTATCTTACTGAAAGGACGTGGATGGGCAGCAGCTCATGCAATTGTCGCCTGTCTCAACGTCCATCCTTATGTCTTCTCAAGATGCATGTGCATACAGGCAACAATGATAGTAACAGCTGCCTTGTGCGCAATCATTGGTAGCTGCCCTCTGCATAAACGTCTGTGATTACAAAACCATGCAGACCGCGCCAGCTTGCTGTGGCGGCTCCAGTTACAGCGTGCTCTCCAAGACGGCAGCCGCACTTGGCAAGATGCGCTGATTCTGACCGGGACGGTTGGCCAACGTCCCCTGGCTCTGACCGGGACGGTTGGCCAACGTCCCCTGGCTCTGACCGGGACGGTTGGCCAGCGTCCCCTGGCTCTGTCCGGGACGGTTGGCCAGCGTCCCCTGGCTCTGACCGGGACGGTTGGCCAACGTCCCCTGGCTCTGACCGGGACGGTTGGCCAACGTCCCCTGGCTCTGTCCGGGACGGTTGGCCAACGTCCCCTGGCTCTGACCGGGACGGTTGGCCAACGTCCCCTGGCTCTGTCCGGGACGGTTGGCCAGCGTCCCCTGGCTCTGACCGGGACGGTTGGCCAACGTCCCCTGGCTCTGTCCGGGACGGTTGGCCAACTACCCCTAGCTCTGTCCGGGACGGTTGGCCAACTACCCCTAGCTCTGTCCGGGACGGTTGGCCAACGTTCCCTGGCTCTGACCGGGACGGTTGGCCAACTACCCCTAGCTCTGTCCGGGACGGTTGACCAACGTCCCCTGGCTCTGACCGGGACGGTTGGCCAACGTCCCCTGGCTCTGACCGGGACGGTTGGCCAACGTCCCCTGGCTCTGACCGGGACGGTTGGCTAACGTCCCCTGGCTCTGTCCGGGACGGTTGGCCAACTACCCCTAGCTCTGTCCGGAACGGTTGCCAACGTCCCCTAGCTCTGTCCGGAACGGTTGGCCAACGTCCCCTGGCTCTGACCGGGACGGTTGGCCAACGTCCCCTGGCTCTGTCCGGGACGGTTGGCTAACGTCCCCTGGCTCTGGCCGGGACGGTTGGCCAACTACCCCTAGCTCTGTCCGGAACGGTTGGCCAGCGTCCCCTGGCTCTGACCGGGACGGTTGGCCAACGTCCCCTGGCTCTGACCGGGACGGTTGGCCAACGTCCCCTGGCTCTGTCCGGGACGGTTGGCCAACGTCCCCTGGCTCTGACCGGGACGGTTGGTCAACGTCCCCTGGCTCTGTCCGGGACGGTTGGCCAACGTCCCCCTGGCTCTGTCCGGGACGGTCGGCCAACGTCCCCTGGCTCTGACCGGGATGGTTGGCCAACGTCCCCTGGCTCTGACCGGGACGGTTGGCCAACTACCCCTAGCTCTGTCCGGAACGGTTGGCCAGCGTCCCCTGGCTCTGACCGGGACGGCTGGCCAGCGTCCCCTGGCTCTGTCCGGGACGGTTGGCCAACGTCCCCCTGGCTCTGTCCGGGACGGTCGGCCAACGTCCCCTGGCTCTGACCGGGACGGTTGGTCAACGTCCCCTGGCTCTGACCGGGACGGTTGGTCAACGTCCCCTGGCTCTGTCCGGGACGGTTGGCCAACGTCGATCCGAGTGTT